GCACTTTTATTGTTTTGTTTCTAGAAACATATATAGATATAAATGATAGAGAAAGACTTCCATTCATTCATCTTCATTTCTTTTTCATGAAATTGATCAGTTACTTTTAGTAAAATGACTATCTCTTCCTTCCATCTTCTTTTGATGCTTTCTGCATAATTCAAGATTATGTCCAAAGAGTCCTCAGTATTGCAACTTAAGGATTGAATTTATTCTTCAATTCTTTCAACTTGAGAAATGCTGAGCATATTATTATTCCTTTTTGGATTTCTAAGTTGAGTTCTTTGCACATTTCTTCATAATAGTTTGCTTTGTCTTCTCGAGCTGCCCTTTGAAATCTTCCATCAAGTCTTTCAGCTCTTCTTCCCTTTGTTTTTGATCTTTCTCTACTTTTCAATGCAAGTTTCAAAGTCATTTCTGACATCCACGTTAGTATTTTTTTGTCTTTGTTATAAATAACCTTTTGATTTCTTCATAGATAAAATCTTTAATGTCATCCCATAACTCATCTGGTCTTAGGTCATTAATGTTCATTGCCTCATATATCTTTTTTTTTAAATAAAAACAATTTCAAAGCATTTATTGTGATCTGCCAATAACATAAGAGCCATCAAAACAGTATGAACACATGTTCTAGAACAATTTATGTTAAAAAAGACACCTAAAACAGAAGGAAAAAAGAATCTAAAAGCTAATGCCCTCAACAACCTTTCACTTCATTGATAATTTCTAGTTGGATACATTTTGTAGAACAGTAATATTATCATCTTTTAGTATGATCTGACCCAGTTATTTTCTTGACTTTGTTTTAGAAAAAAATCTCTTCTGCATCATCTAATACAATGTTCATATACTCATCAAAACCTATGATACAACCCTCTATCCACATATTCACTTGCTCATAGAATCACACCTGAATCTGAGATTTCTGTGGTATTTCTAGTACGATATGGTGGGCTGCACCATCACCTTCTGCACTTTCTTGCCCTGGCCGTCATACATCATGGTGGGAGCCCACAAAGACCAGACTAAGCCTCATGCTACCTCTAAAACCTCTCAGCTCTGTTCTTGAGGTAGTTTTTTTAAGTTCAGTTGAGATAGACTCAAGGTCATATTTTTTGTTTCTTTTGAATTAAAAATAAATATGTAGCTGTTCTTAATTTTCATTATTTTTGGAAACTTTTAAAGCAGCAAGTCTTCAACCATCTCTTCTCTGCTTTTTTGGTTGCTTCCTGTTCTGGAATTGCCCTACGTGCTTCTTAGAATTTCTTCGTATTATTTTCTTTTTTCTGATTGCACCTCTAATAAATTAGTATTGAAGAGTTTGTCCCCCACTTAACCAATTCCATACTCCATTCCTTTATTTCCTTTTGCCCATTTAGTGTATCATCTATAGCTTCAATTTTAGTCTTAATAGTCTGACTTTCACCTTGCTGTTTTTGTATTGCATCTAATTTTCTACTTATTTCATTGTTTTTGAAGAATTTTTGGTCTTGCTAGTTTTTTGGTTTTTTTAAAATTCTTCTTAGGTTTTCTCTGTTTTTTTTCCAATATGTAGAAGACACTTAAGTAAAATTTTTTTTGCATGCTTATCAGGAATCTCTAATAACTTTTCTTCCTCTTAAATATTTTCTTGTTCCATATTTTGGTTAATTTTTGGCTCATCATATCTTGTGGGCTTTTTTGCTGATTTGAGGTTATCTGTTGCCACCTGGGCATTGTTTTAGTGTTGTCTTTGTGGTTGGAGACAAGATATCCGACCTGGAAATGTCTGTCAAGGGTTCAGGCACCCAAGCCTTAGAGGATCCTGAAATAGTCCACCTGGCTAGAGATCATGCCATAGTCTAGAGGGTGAATGTTGACAGGTGACCAATGAATTTTGGTTGCTTAGTGGTAAGGAGTTGTACTACCAAACCAAAGGCAGGTGGTTCAAATCTGAGCTTTTCTCTGGGAGAAAGATGGGCTGTCTTGCCGCAGGCCAGCCAAGGGAAGGGGAGAGCCGAGGATGAAGAATACAGAGAGGCTAAGACTGATAGTCAGTAGCAGTGGTTTATTCCAGAAATTCTAAGTTATATTCTTTTGCAGAGTACAGAAAAACAGCTCAGTCTCAGGGCTAACAATACACTTGTTTTGAGATCCCCGCCACCTGCAAGATTGCTTCCAATTAGCAAGCAAGGCCATCAGAACAGAGTCTTTAGGGAGGGTCATACCATTCTGCACATCCCTGCTTGGCCTTGGGGTTCAAGGAATGGTTAAACTTGTTTTTGCTCCCTTTAAACACCTGCACATTTGAACCTAGCATAAAATGGCTACTTGCATAAAATGGCTGCAGTATGGCTCACTTTTTGACATCCTGCTTCCTTGAGTTGTTTTCTATCAAGCAGATACTATAAGCCAAAATGGAGTTAGTCTTGCTGGTCTTTTGGTACAGGGCTAATCTTGCTTTACAAGTTAGCCAGGTCCCAACACTGTCTCATGGTGATTTACAGCCTCTGACAACTTGTGGGAGGAGTTGATTCTGACTTGAAAGCACATAACAAATCAGATAGGGTTAGTGTGAAGTCACCATGGACAGTGCATTTAGCAAAGGGATGTTCTAGTCCAAAGTGGTGCCTCTGCTCAGCTGGGGGCTGACTGCAGGCCAGGCATGTCATAATACCCCAGTTTCCAGAGGGAGACTGAATTTAGAGCCATGCAAGCTCTTACTGCCAAATACAGAATGCCCTGAGGAATCAGGCAGAGCTAAGATGGGGAATGCTCTGTCATACACTTGGTGTATGTTTGTGAGGGAAAGCCACTACCTCAATCTCCAGATAGGCATTGGGAACAACAAAGACTATTGCACCTTTCTTGTCAGATTGGTGCTCACGTTGGCATTGCAGTTGACTCAGTTTCCCACGTTAAATAAGCATACAGCTGTTAAAAATGGCTGTGCTGTACTTTGTGTGGTACTGTGTTCAATCTGTCTTCTCATTCATTATCTTTCTTCAGTTCTTCCTTCTTATTCTGTGTGCTCTAGGATTATATTTTATTGAAGAGATCCTGACTAGCGTCTGTCTACTCTGCCACTGGCACATTGAAATTCAGAATATTAAGACAGAAATTGCTGAACTAAATAGCACATTAGAACTACAAAAGAGCAGAAATGAAGAACTAGAATACAGAATTAGTAGACTATTTCTAGAGATATACATCTTATGTTATTTTATTTTGTCACGTCAATTCAAATTCATATGACAGACTTTCCTAGTCTGTAATCTTTACAGATGGATCCAGGCTCAAAGTAAGGAATATCAGAAAAATGTCTATTTGTGCTTTATTGACTTTATTAAAGGCATTTGACTGTATGGATCATAATAAGTTGTGGCTGATATTGAGAGGAATGGGAGTCCCAGAGAACTTAATTGTGCTCATGCAAAACCTATACCTGGACCAGGAGCCTATTGTGCAAACAGAGCAGGGGAACACTGCACGGTTTAAAATTGAGAAGGGAATGCATTAGAGTTGTAGTCTCCCTGTACACCTATTCCTCAGCATGCTGAGCAAATTATCTGAGGAGCTGGACTCCATCAAGAGGAGTGTGGCATCAGGATTTGAGGGAGACTGATCAGTAACCTGTGTAATGCACATATCACAACCTTGTTTGTGGAAAGTGAGGAGGACTTAAAGCACTTGTAGAGGATCAAGGAATTCAGCCTTCTTTAGCAATGGATTGAACCTCATTGTCAATGAAAACAAAGATTCTTATGAGTGGACCAATAGCAACGTCATGATGAATGGAGAAGAGATTGAAACGTCAACAGCTTCATCTTATTGAGGAGTAATGATGTCAGTCTGAGGGCAGTCACTTGCTATGCATCTGTAAGCTGGACAATGAATAAGGATGACAGAAAAAAAAAAATGACGCCCTTGAGCTGTGATGTTGGAGAAGAGCACTGAACATTCCATGGACAGCCAAAAAAACAGATATGTCTTGGAGAGGGTGCAGCCAGATTGCTCTGTAGAGGCAAGAATGATGACCCTTTATACATGATGCTGGGAAGGATGGAGGGTGGGTCAAGGAGAGGAAGACCCTCAACCAGGTGGAGTGACATGGATTGCTACAGTGGGCTCTTGTGTATCAGGAAGAGTGAGGATGGCACAGGATAGAACAGGGTTTCAGATCTTTGTTCATAGGGTCAAAATGAGTTGTACTTGACTCGACGGAACCTGACAACAACAACGTTTATAAGAAGAGATCATTAATTTCTTTCTTTCACAGAGCAGATGACTTTGAACTACCAACTTTTTGATTACTAGGTAAGCACTCAACTACTGTGCTACCTGGGGTAGATGGCTAAATTGTGAAGAGTCTTCCTAAGTCATTTTATATTTTTTTAGCCTATCAGAAGCTCAGCATGTTTGTGTCTGCTATTAATTAAAATCTGAAGTTTTGTTTTTCATTTTCAGGCAATAAAAACTCATATCAGACCTGTGCTTGATAAATTCTTGGTTTGGGGGGTTTGTTTTTTTTAAACTTCTTACTCTTGTTCAAGGATCATTGACTCATTGTAAAACCTTCCCTGTCCTTTCTGAGAAGACTTAGTTGCTCACGTCTCTGTATAATCTTTGTATCATAAATGTGTCTCCAACATGGCACTAATGATAATCTATCATAATATGTTTTAATTTACTATATTTGTCTTCTCTTCTTACTTGTGAGCAGCTCAAGGGCAAGAACTAGAGTTTTGTATTCATTCGTCTTCTATGCCCCCCCTCCAGACTCTATCTAAGTGTTTATATCAGCCATGAAATATAAAGGAGATATTTATACTGCAGCTAAGAGCATTTCATACTCTAGTTACTAGATTTCATACTCTAGTTACTAGAATAACAAGTAATACATTTGACACAGATATCAGTACCTAAATCAAAAAGAATTAGTACTATATGTTCTTTGATTGTTGGTACATGTTTCTTTTTTTCCAGTTAATTATTTTTCTCTGTGCTTACAGTTTGTAAAAATGGAATTTCAAGCGGTAATCATGGCAGTTGGAGGAGGATCTCGGATGACAGATCTGACTTCCAGCATTCCCAAACCTCTGCTGCCAGTTGGGAACAAACCTTTAATTTGGTACCCATTGAACCTGCTTGAGCGTGTTGGATTTGAAGGTGAGTTGTGGCAATAAGATGCTGTTATAAAGCTTTTGAAGTGTTGATACCTATAATTTGTTAATATTATGAGGGTCAAAGAAGATGAATGAGAATAGACTAGGACTCAAATCTGTTTGACAATTAGCCTCTTTACATTATGAAGATAAGTGTACACTATTTCTGTGTGAGAGAAGTTGAGAAAATAGCATTCATTGCTACTGTTACAGAGCTAATTATCACAGTGATCCAAGAGAAACTTAGTAAGGGTATTAGAAGAACAAATTGATAATCCAGATGCTTCATAGTTGGTATTTCTTATTAATCTATTATTGCTTGGTAATATTTTAAACTCTATTGAAGCTCAACATCAAGAAAACAAAAGATTCTCACCACTGGACCAATTGGCAGCATCAGTATGGATGGTGAAGAGATTAAGATAGCAGTTTTAGTTTACTTGGCTCCATAGTCAACACTCTTTGTACCAGCAGCAAGAGACAAATTGCATTGGGGAAGTCAGTTGTCAGGGACTTCTCCAGAGTACTGAAGAGCAACGATGTCAGGCTGGAGACTAAGGTGCGCCCAATCCACTCTACAGTCTTTGCAGTTGCGTGCTATGAATCAGAGAGTTTGACAGTGACTAGGGATGATAGAAAGAGAATTGATGCCTTTGAACTGTGGTGCTGGAGAAGAGTGTTGAATATACTATGGACTGCTAGGAGAACAAACAGGTTTGTCCTGGAGAGGGTGAAGCCATGCTGCTCCTTGGAGTCAATTATTCTGAAACTTTGTCTGACATACTTTGGGCATGTTGCAGGGAGGGACTGGTTCTTGGAGAGGGACATCCTGCTTGGGAGAGTGGAAGGGCGGCGTAGGAAAGGAAGACCCTTGATGAAATGTATCGATTCTGTGATTGAGGTGGTGAGAGTGAGTGTGTTGGAGACGATGAGGTTGATACAGGATAGAGCAGGGTTTAGGGCTCTTGTACATAGGATTGCTGTGAGTTGCAGTGACTCAACAGCACATAACAACAAGAGGGTACAAAATTTAAAAAAAAACAATTTTAGATCTTATTTCTAGAATCTTAAAATCTAGGGAAGAGATAAACATGTAAGTGTAGTGCTGTCAAGTCAATTTCAATTCATAGCAGCCCTGTGGGATAAGGAAGACTATCTCAGAGTTTACTAGGTTGAAATCGTTAAGGGACCATATCACTAAGTCTTTTCTCCCATGGAGAAATTGCCAGCCTTTCATTTAGCAACCACTTGCTTAACCATTGTGCCACCAGGAACCCTTACATATGTAAATAAATATCTGCTATTTAATGTGATAAATGTAATACATACATTGTAACTACTTGGGAGAAGTATAGAAAAGTTACTGTTTTATCTGAGGGAATCAGGAAGTTTCACAGGATAGTGACCCTTGAAGTGAGTCTTGAAAAGTAAATTACCAAATTGACCAGTGTGGAGAAAATACTCCTTGCAGAAGCAGTAACATATAGCGGAGATCCAGAGGAATGATCAGCGTAGCATGTTCTGGCAATTGCTCTTTATTCCATGGGAATGTAATAGAAAGTGTCGAGGAGTGGACAAAGCAAGAGAGATAAGCAAGGGTTATATTTTGAACAGCCTTGGATTTCCTGCTGAGGAATTTAAAATTTTTCCCCCCTTGAAAAACTCAAAGACCGATTGCCATACCATCAGTTCTAACTCATGGAAACCCTCCATCATGGTTTTTGAGGTAGTAAATATTTATGGGAGGAGTTGGTACATCTTTCTTTCACAGTGCACCTGGTGGATTTGAACTATTGACTTTTTAATTAGCCTTCTACATGTGCACTATACCACCAAGGCTACTTTTTTTCTGAAATCAGTGATAAACCAGTGAAAGGTTTACACAAATGTATGATAAGGTTAGATTTATTAAACCTTAGAATTTTCACATAAATTTCATAGTTCTTTCAACAAAAAATGCTGCTGGAATTTTGAATATTATTACATTGAATGTAGATTAGTGTGGTAAATTTCACACCTTGAATTTGAATTTGCTAATCCATGAGCATGATATACATATCTCCACTTATTTCAGTCTTTAATTTTAAAATTTTTTCTAATTTTATATTTTTTAATGGATAAGTCTTGTGTGTATTTTCTCATTTTACCTCTACTTAGTTTATGTTACTATAATTTGTATTTTTTAAAAACTATATTTTAGTGTTTTGTTGGTACTACGTAAAAAATGCAAATTTTTTTTTTTTAACATTGATCTTATATTCTACAGCAGAGCTCTGGTGACTTAGTGGTTAAGGAATTGTGCTGTCAACTCAAAGACACGTAGTTTGAATCCACCAGCTGCCCTGAGATTGAAAGATGGGCAGCCTCCTGCCATGAAGTTTAAAATTTCTGAAACCTGGCTAGAGAGTCAGCTATGAAATGATTCTGATTTGATGGCAATGAATTTTTTTGTATCTTATAACTTTTAAAATTTCACTATTGTTAATTCTAGTAGCCTTGTGTAGATTTATACAATGTGATCTAATTGAAGTGTTTAGAATATTTCACTTAGTAAATTAGAATATGCCTTTTTTTTAAGTGCTTTGTACTTGTATCAAGATAAACCATATTTTTGGAAATACCTCAAAAGCATACTTCAGCAGACTTCTTATGGTTAAAATTATATGAAGTATAGTCCCTGACCACAACAAAATTAAATTAGAAATCATTACTAGAAAAATATCAAGAGAATTCCAAAGTATTTGGGACTTTAGGATAAGATGACAGACTCGACTAATGGCAGTCCAGACAGACTCTATTCAGTGAAGACATCAGAAAACAAAGATAACTGATACAGATAATACTATTTTTTGCTCATTTAAAAAACTCCGTTTAATTAACTCATAAGCACATGTGGTGTTTTTTTAATGGGTTCCTTGAATAGCCGTCTTCTTTGGCAGCTGCAACTGCTTCTTGCAATTGCTCATGGAAAGGGCAGGGATGAGTTACCTATCTGAAGGAAATGAAGTTGCAGATTACCATCTCCTGAAGAGTCAAAAGGAGAACTGGCATTCCAGGTCCCATAAACCCTACTCCAACCCACAAGAAAGTAACCGCGTCAGGAGCCACTGCTCCATTTTGTTGTCAATCTCTTGTTTCTGTCTTCAGCGATGCTAATTCAAATGCCCTTACCCCTGGGCAGGGTTACCTTTGCTAATGACAACAATGTTGGAGAGCCTAGTGGCAAAGCTGTGACTTTTGAAGTCCTTCACATATTACTATTGTTATGTGCAGTCAAGTCACTTGCAGCTTGAGGACGGTAATCTTCAATATGTATTGAAGACTAAAAAGAGTAGACAAAAAAGTAGATCACCAGTGGGCCAATTGGCAACACCATAATGGATAAAGAAGAGATTGAAGTTGTCAATGATTTAAACTTGCTTGGTTCCACAATCAACATCGTTGGCACCAGCAGTCAAGAAAAAGATATATTGTACTGGGAAAGTCTCCTGTTAGGGACCTTTCCAGACTATGGTCTTCACAGTTACTTGCTTTGTATCAAAGAGCTGGACAATGAATAAGGATGACAGAAGAATTGATGCCTTTGAGTTGTGGTTCTGGGGATGAGTCTTGAACATACCATGGACTTCCAAGAGAACAGGTCTGTCCTACAGAGGGTCAAACCAAGTTGCTCTCTGGAGACAAAGATTTTGAATCTATTGTGGCCAACTGACTGGAAGAGATCTATATTTGTTCCCATCCCAAAGAAAGGTGACCCAATTGAGTGTGGAAACTACAGAACAATATTATTGATTTCACATGCAAGTAAGATTCTACTGAAGATTATCCAAAAACGACTGGAACAGTACATCAACAGAGAACTGCCGGAAGTCCAGGCTGGGTTTAGAAGGGGTCGTGGTACTAGGGATATTGTTGCTGATGTTAGATGGATCTTGGCTGAAAGCAGAGAATACCAGAAGAATGTCTATCTGTGTTTCATTGATTATGCAAAGGCATTTGACTGTGTGGATCATAACAAACTGTAGCTGACTCTGAGAAGAATGGGAATCCCAGAACATTTAATTGTGCTAATGTGAAACCTATACTTGGACCAAGAGGCAGTCGTCAGAAGAGAGCAGGGCAACACCGCATGGTTCAAAATTGAGAAGGGTGTACGCCAGGGATGTGTCCTATCTCCATACCTTTTCAACCTGTATGCAGAGCAGATTATCCGAGAGGCTAGGCTCTATGAGGAGACGCGTGGCATTAGGATTGGTGGACGATCTATCAACAATCTGCGTTATGCAGATGACACAACCCTGCTCGCTGAAACTGAGGAGGACCTCATGCACTTACTGCAGATGGTCAAGGACTGCAGCCTTCAGTATGGACTGAGGCTCAATGTCAAGAAGACAAAGATTCTCACCACTGGACCAATCAGTAGCATCAGGATGGATGGCGAAGAGATTGAGATTGTTCACAGCTTCAGTTTGCTTGGCTCCATGGTCAACACTCTTGGCACCAGCTGCCAGGAAATCAAAAAACGTACTGCGATGACAAAGTCTGCTGTTAGGGACCTCTCTAAAGTACTCAAGAGCAACGGTGTCTCTTTGGAGACTAAGGTGCGCCTGATACAGGCCATGGTTTTTGCAATCACTTGTTATGCATCAGAGAGTTGGACAGTGACTAGGGAGGATAGAAGGAGAATTGACGCCTTTGAGCTGTGGTGCTGGAGAAGAGTATTGAATGTTCCATGGACTGCTAAGAAAACAAACAGATCCATCCTGGAGAGGGTTAAACCAGGCTACTCCTTGGAGGCAAGGATTCTGGGGCTTCGTCTGACATACTTTGGACAGGAGAGACAGGTCCTTGGAGAGGGACATCATGCTTGGTAGGGTAGAGGGACAGCACAGGAGGGGAAGACCCCCTATGAGGCGGATTGATTCAGTGACTGGGGTAATCAGGATGGGTGTGTCAGAGGCAATGCGATTAGCACAGGATAGAGCAGGGTTTAGGGCTGTTGTACGTAGGGTCGCTATGAGTCGCAAACGACTCAATGGCACATAACAACAACAACAACAACAACAACAACAACAACAACAACAACAACATTGGAGGCAAGGATTCTGAGGCTTTGTCTGACATACTTTTGTCATGTTGTAAGGAGACACCAGTCCTTGGAGAAGGACATCATTCTTGGGAGGATGGAGGGCAGGTGCAGGAGGGGAAGGCCCTCAGGGTGGTGGATTGATTCAGTGACTGGAGCAATCGTGATGAGTGTGTCGGAGACAATGAGATTGGCACAGGACAGAGCAGAGTTTAGAGCTGTTGTACATAGGGTTGCTATGAGTTGCAAGCAACTCGGCGGCACATAACAACAACAACAACAACAACATCTCACATACTTTGGGACTGGTCCTTGGAGAAGGACATCATGGGAAGGGTGGAAGGACAACCCAGGAGAGAAAGACCCTGAATGAGATGGATTAACACAGTGATTGGGGTAATAGGGGCAGGTGTGTCGGAGACAGTGAGATTGGCTCAGGATAGGACAGGGTTCAGAGCTATTGTACATAAGTCACTGAGTCACAGATGACTTCACGGTTCATAACAACAACATATTGGATGGGAGGGAGGGAAATTCTAAAATTTAATTGTGTAAATTTTAGATGTAAATTTTTCGTAAGTATTTGGAAATTAGACCACATACTTCTACATTAAAAAAATTCCAAGAGATTTAAAAATACTTTAAAATTATTGAAAAATTAATGAAATTTGAAAGATATAGCAAAAGTAGTATTTTGAAGAAATTTTATAGCATTAAATGCATATATGGGAAAAAAGAAATGTCTCAGATAATGATTTAATCTTCTACTTTGAGAAACTAGAGAAAGAAAAGCAAATAACTCTCCTAAAAAAAAAATGAGTAGAAATAAATAAAAACCAATACCTTGGAAGAAAATTGTTAATACCATGAAAAGCACATTCTTTAAGAAAAATCAGTAAAATTGTTAAATCTCTTGTGAGACCGCTCAGGAAGAAAGTATAGACAAATAACTAATAGTAGGAATGAGGAGACCACACTATCGATCCAATAGATATTAAAAGTACGTTATTGTTGTTAGGTACTGTCAAGTTGAGAACCACTCATAGTGACCCTATGAAAAACAGACCTGAACCCTGTCCTATCCTTGCTGTCTTCAACATCTCTGATACCCTTGAGCCCATTGCTGCAGTCAACCATGCCAGTCTATTCTGTTGGGTCTCTTCCTTTTTTTCACTGACCTTCCATCTTTCCAAGCATGATTTCTCTTTCCAAGGAACAGCATCTCTTAGCAGCATCCAAAATATGAGTGGTGAAACTTCATCATCCTTGCCTCCAAAGAGCACTCTGGCTGCGCTTTTCCGAAGACATACTTGTTTGTTCTTTTGGCAGTTCTTGGGATATTCAGTAATCTTCTCCAGTACCACAATTCAAAGGCTTGGATTCTTCTTTTGTCATCCTTAGTTATTGTCTAGCTCTCAGATGTATAGCAAGCAATTGAGAAGACTATGGCCTGGATTAGGTTGACCTTAGTCTCTAAACTGACTTAGCAATACTCTGGAGAGATCCTTAACAACAGATTTCTCCAGTGCTACTGGTCATTTGCTCTCTTTACTACTGGTACTAAGAGTGTTGTTTGTGGATCAAATCACTGACAACCTCAATCCTTCTCCATCTATCATGATACTCTCTGCTGGCCCTTGTAGTGGTAAGAACCTTTGTTTTCTTGATGTTAAGATACAATCAATATTGAAAGCTTCAGTCTTTGACCATCTGCTGCAGACACTTCAAATCTTCCTCAATTTTAGCAAGTAAGGTCATGACATTTGCATAATTTAGCTTGTTCATGAGTCTTCCTCCAATCCTGATGTCATAGTCTTCTTCATAAAGTCCAACCTCAAGAATGATCTGCTCTGAATATAGATTGAAAAAGTATGCAGAAATGTTACATCCCTGACACACTCCTTTCTTGCTTTTGAACCATGCACTGTTCCCTTGCTCTGTTCAGAAAACAGCTTCCTGATATGATAAAGGTTTTTCATGAGCACAATTAGATGTTCCAGGATTCCCATTCTTCTCAATGCTAGCCACAATTTGTTGTGATCCATACAGTTAGATACATGCCTTTTGTACAGTCAATTTAACACAAATAGACATTCTTTTGGTACTCTGTCCTTTCAGCCATGATCCACCTGACATCAGCATTGATATCCCTAGTGTCATGGTCTCTTCTAAATCCAGCTTGTATTTCTGGCAGTTCTCCATCTATATACGATTCTAGTTGTTTTTAGATGATCTTCGCCAAGATTTTGCTTGTGTGTGATATTAGTAATATTTGATAATTTTTACATACTGTTGGACCCTGTCTTTTGAGAATGGGAATAAATATGTATCTCTTTCAGTCAGTTGGCAGTATTTTTAGAATTCGTCCTACTAAGATTGTTAGCACACTATTTATAAGAAGTCTCAAGTCAATGCAGTCCCAAATGCTTAACTGCCTTTTATAAGTCCATAGTTTCTAACATTAACAGGTCCATCCATGGCTTAGTTCTCCAATTCCTCTATGCTTCTTGAGTTCAGTAATTTGCTAGAAGGTCTCCCAAAGATGCAGTCCCATCAGGAGAATGACTCATATGACCATGGGTTTGCAGGCTGTTTTTGGAGAAACTAGGGAGTGAGAGGCTAGGATCCTGTTGGTGATGCAGGCCGGGATGCTGTGTCCTAAGTAAGCAGTCCACAAGAGAAAGCATGTAGCACTGAGGTCCTGTGAGCTTATTTAAGTCTATAAGAGGATGGGGTTTGTAGTTCATCCTAATTCTCTCTCCTTAATAAAATAATTACTTCAACATAAAATAAGCAATTAATGATAGGCTAGAAAAGACATCTGAATGATAAACCTTAGACAACCGGAGCCAGTTACCTGTCCTCTAAATTTTCTGGTACAATCTGGTGAGCACATCCAGGGCTGTTGATTGGAATATTTCAATTGGTATCCCATCAATTTCTGGGCCTTATTTTTTGCCAATTCCTTCAGAGCAGCTTGAATTTCCTCCTTTATTGTCATTGGTTCTTGATCATATGCTACTTCCTGGAAATGTTCTCTGTCAGCCAACTCTTTTTGTTTATTGACTCTGTATGTGTTCCTTTCCATCTTTTGTTTATACTTCCTAGATCATTCAGTATATTGCAACTCGCGGCTTGGATTTGATCTTCAGTTCCTTAAGCTTAAGAAATGCTGAGCAAAATCTTCTCTTTTGATTTTCTGACCGTTAGATGGATCTTAGCTGAAAGCAGAGAATACCAGAAGAATGTCTATCTGTGTTTCATTGATTATGCAAAGGCATTTGACTGCGTGGAAAACAAACTGTGGCTGATTCTGAGAAGAATGGGAATCCCAGAACATTTAATTGTGCTAATGCGAAACCTATACTTGGACCAAGAGGCAGTCGTCAGAACAGAGCAGGGCAACACCGCATGGTTCAAAATTGGGAAGAGGTTCTAGTAGTGGCACAAATCAAGTTACAGAGGGAAGGTGGTTCTTACTCACTCACTCAGCATAATGTTCTCCAGAGTCAACCACTTTGAATAATATTGCATGAGTTCCTTGTTTTTCAATGCAGCATAGTATTCCATTGTGCGAATATACCACAGCTTCTCTATCGAGATTGTTTTAAAAGTTAAGTGAGAGAGTGTGTGTGAAACACATTGAAAGGCTTGATAGTATTAACTACTATCACACTCAGAAACCAGCCTAATCTAATAGAAACACTGAAACTTCTATCCAGTTAAAAGAGAAGTGCTTTTTTATTAAATTAAATGTTTTTTTATTAATGATTTTTAATGCAGCATATATAATCTTTCACAGCATATTTTTTCCATTTATTCCCCCCTTCATTCATTGTTGCACATTTTCCTCCCTACCACCTCTCCCTCCCCCAGTTCATTTTTCTCCTTGAAGAAAAAAAAATTGTTTCATTGTTATACAATCTCCCCCCAGTCCACAGTCCACTTTAATATGCTTTTCTTTTTCTGTATCTTGTCATGAAAATAATACCTAATCCTATATTCCTTTTTAAACCGTTTTCTCCCTCATCTGTTTCAATGCAATATACATTATTTATCCCCTTTTCTTAGATCCTCCCTAACTCTGATGTCAGTCCCATTTTATAACAGTGACACTCTGCAGTACTTGTCCTTTTGTGACTGAGATATTTCACTCAGCATAATATTCTCCATGGTCATCCATTTTGTATAATATTTCATGAGTGGTGCTTTTTTAAAAACAAAATTTTATGTTTTGCTTTTACACTATAGAAGTCATTGTGGTTACAACCAAGGATGTCCAAAAGGCTTTGTGTGCAGAATTCAAGATGAAAATGAAGACAGATATTGTGTGTATTCCTGATGAGACTGACAAGGGAACTGCAGATTCTCTGCGCCACATATATCCAAAACTTAAGGTAAAAAAAAATAATTAGGTTTTATTGAAGATGAAACCTTAATATCTTATTTTTTCATAGTGCATTATAATTTACAAAATTATTTTTTTAAAAAATTAAATTTTTGTATGATCTTTTATTGGTAATAGCTTCAACTGCTATTTGGTTTGATTACTACTAAAGATTTAGACATTCAGTCAAATACTAGTTTCCAGTATTTATTAGTAATAGTGCATCTTAATAAAAAAGATCTATTTCAAGAGAGTACATTTATAAGAGGTTCATGAACCAGCAATTAATTAAATAATTTAGAAAAATTAATATATGTTGATTAAAGTTAGAATAGCAGGTGGCTCTGCAGGTGGAAGATTAACTGAAAAGAAGCACAAGGACCTCATTATGTTTTTTAAATAATTGTTTCTGTGCATCTTTGCTTTTCTTCTATTTTCTTTCTTTTTTCTGTTTACTTTCTTCTTGTTGAGTACCATGGAGTCAGAACCAATCCATAGCTGACCCTCCAGCAGGTTTTTAGAGGCAATTAATCGCATGGGAGGAGATTGCCCATCCTCTTCCCACTGAGCAGCTGGTAGATTTTAACTATGGGACTTCAGAATTGCAGGACAGCTTCGTACTACTAGGCCACCAGTGCTCCCTTTCTATATAAGAATCTTATTCTAATATCATTGTGATCTTTTCTTTCTTTCCTGTCTTGTTAATGATCTTTTGCTTTCTTCATGTATGATGCCCCTTTTTAAATGTGATTTGAGTGAAAGTTTACAAAGCAAATAATTTTCACCCAACCATTCATGTATGTTTTATTTTATAACATTAATTAGAATTGCGTTGTTGTTAGGTGCAGTTGAGTCGAATACAACTCATAGCAACCCTATGAACAAAAGATCTGAACCTTGTTCTATACTATGCCATCCTCACTTCCTGACACACAAGAGCCCATTGCAGCAATCTTGCAACAATTGGGTCAGTCCACCTGATGGAGGATTTTCCTCTCCTTTGCTGACCCTCCACCCTTCCTACCATTAAGTCCCTCTTCAAGGAATAGCCCCTCTTAACAACATGCCGAAAGTATGTGAGGTGAAGCCTCATCATTCTTGCCTTCAAGGAGCATTCTGGCTGCATCCTTTCCAAGCAATATCTGTTTGTTCTCTTGGCCGTCCATGGGATGATCAGTGCTCTTCTCCAACACCACAGCTCAAAGGCATCAATTCTTTTTCTGTCATCCTTATTCATTGTCCAGTTCTTAGATGCAAGTGATTGGAAAGACTATGGCCTGAATCAAATATACCTTAGTCTTCAAACTGACATCATTACACCTCAGTAATTTGGAGAGATCTCTAACTGCAGATTTTCCCAGTGCAATATATATATCCTTATTTCCTGACTGCTGGCATCACGGGTGTTAATTGTTGATCCAAGAAAGTGGTACAGCACTTGTCTGTAAATTTGCTATACTAAGATAACTTGGGGTTGCTGTGCTACTGGTGTATCAAATGCCATAAGGGTTACCCATGGTGGACAGATTTTGGGGGAGCTCCCTGATCAAGACAGACTAGGAAGATAGGTTATCTACGTCTTAAATAACAGGCCCCTATGAACACTAAAGGAATGAGGGTAGTTAGTGTAGTGTAGTGGTAGAGCCCAGATTGGAAGTCAGTTGAAATGAAGAAAAACAATAAAAAAACAACATTTAATATACTTGGAATATGGAATGTGTATAGCTTGAATGTGAGAAAACTGGAAATTATTAGAAATTAAGTGGAATTCAGGAACATTGACATACTAGGAATTAGTGAGATGAGATAAAATGAATCCGCTTTCGCCACTTTGAATCACGTAATCATACGGTATGCTATATTGGAAATGAAAAACAGAAGAAGAATGGTATTTTATTCATAGTAAAAAACTCAATTTCAAGTTCTATCCTGAAATGCAATGTTGTGAGTAATAAGGTAATATCTATAAACATACAAGGAAGACTTGTTAACATGACTATTACTCAATTCCTACATATGGATCCAAAGAGAATGAAATTGAGAATTTTTACCAAATCTTACAGTCTGGAATTGACTGAACATGCAATCAAGATGCATTAATAATAATTGGTGACTGGAATGCAAAAGTGGGAAACAGAGAGGAAGGAATAGTAGTTGGAAAATACGGGCTTGTGATAGAAATGAGGCTGAAAATAGAATGATCAAATTTTGTGTTTTCAATAATTATTGCAAATACCTTTTTTAAAGACACAAATGATATCTTTACACATTAATTAGAATGCCTACAATATAATCACACTTTTTTTACTTCTTCTGTAAATATGATTTCCATTACTCTTTTTATATCTCTCTAAGAAATGAACAGGAGATTTCAAAGGACAACTCAAGAAGACAGAGCAAAGTGTTTTGAAAGAATGTGCAGAGAGCTGGAGCTAGAAAACAAAAGGGGAAGAAGTCACTTCTCATTTCATGAACTGAAAGAACTGAAAAACAAACTCAGGTCTCAAGTTACAGTACTGAAGGATGCCAGAGGCAAGATACTGAATGATCCAGGAAGCATCAAAAGAAGGTGAAAGGAATACATTCAGTCACTGTACCAAAAAGAATTGGCTAGCACAGAACAATTCAGGAAATAGCATATATTAAGAACCATTAATGATTAAAGAAGAATTTGAAGCTGCATTAAAAACATTAGTAAAAGATAATGCCTCAGTGGATGAATCAGTGGAATACCAATTTTTGTGTTTCAGTAAACAGATGTGCTCACCAAACTATGCCAGGAAATTTGGAGTAGAGCTACCTGACCAATCAACTGGAAGGGAGCCATATTTATTCCCATTCACAAAAATAAAGATCATCCAACAGAATGTGGAAATTACATAACGATATCATTAATACCACATTCAAGTAAAATTTTGCTGAAGATTTTTTTTTTGTTATTAAATTTTATTAGTTTTAATGAATATTTACAGGGATTTGGGGTTTTCATTCCTTCATTGCTGCACCATTCTCTCTACCCTCCTCCCCAGTTTGTTCTTCTT